AAAGCCATGACAACAAACTAATCGAGGAATTCATTCTGATGTCACCTGCGCCGGTCGATACTGCGGCAAAACTTTCCAACATATATATGAAGCTTTCCGAAAAAGAAACAGAGCGCGCGAAAGATTTAATTACGGCTGGAAAACAGTGCGAAACAATGGCCATCGAGTTGCTGACTTTGGCAGCGGGCATCGATTCGGCCGATAAAATCTTGACGTCAATAGATCACAGGAATGTTGAGTTCCTTGACGCATTGATTGAAAACAAACAGAAGGACATAATCGCGCACACCGTGGTGCAACGCTACCTAAAAGAGCTGTGGCAGGGTAGCCTGAATTGGAACATGTTTAGGATGATCCTGCTGTTCATCGTCTTCATCGTGTGTCCGCCGGTCTGGATGATGTTCGCTCTTCCGCTCGGGCACAAGTACAATAACGTGCCTATCATCAAGTTCATTACGTATTTCACGTCGCATATCTACCTGATGGTCTTCCTGTTGCTGGTCGGCATCACGCCGATCAATTCAAAGCTGAGAAACAGCCTAATACCGTACGGGTACGAAGGATGCCTGCTGGTAATGCTGTCGGGATTATTGCTTTTCGAATTGACGAATCCCAGTGACAAGAGCGGCCTCGGTTGGATCAAGCTAGCAATACTATTCTTTGGCATATGCGGCGTCGTTGTTCACCTGTTGTCAGGATTATTCGTCTATAGATACTACTGGCAATATTGTATTTATTTGAGAAACCAGCTTTTTTCCCTTAGTTTCCTTTTAGCTTGCGTGCAGATCCTGGACTTTCTGTCGTTTCACCATTTCTTCGGGCCGTGGGCCATCATCATCGGTAATCTTATGAAAGATCTCGCAAGATTTCTCGTGGTGCTGGCGATCTTCATTTTCGGCTTCTCCATGCAGTTCACCGCGCTCAATCAGCGGTTGTATATATATGTTTTTACGAAGTACTCAAAGGAAAAGACGACAATACTGGCAGCTGAAATGATAGCGAAGAAAGATATACAATTCGCCGAAGGTAAGTTTAAAACATACGTCATTCTCATTTTCATGTTCCTTTTCTCTCTCAGCTTCTTTTCTCTCTTTCTCACACACACACACACACACACACACACACACACACACACACGCGCGCGCGCGCGCGCGCGCGTTTTAAAACAAAATCTCAGCTGTTAACTTTAATTAACCTTTACACGGACGGTTCGTAATAACAAAAATATCCCTGATATCGCAAATATCTAAAAACACATAAGTATCTGCAAAGGTCTTTTACTCTGTTAAAAATGTTCTTTAAATATTTGTAACATTCGGGATAATTGCATGTAACATACAGAAATCGCAAGTCTTCCAGTTCCTATATTTTTTGTTGAAAATTGGAATCCATTGCGTTAGATAAGAACGTGTTTTTTCTTGGGCGCTTGGACTTTTTCCGACGATAGGCAAAAATGAAGAATTCATACGAATCGCAGCATATATACATCTATCATGTATGGCTTGAAATCGATTCATTTTGTGATACATTTTTGTAACATTTATAATAAGTATAGTATGCGTCTAGGCAGTAGCAGAGAATTTCTGCAATACGTCCGCGTATACACGAGGCATCTTAAAAAACACATTGTTCAACGGATAGTTCCAGGCATCATGGAAATCGTACGTATGATCGAGTTCTTGTTCTTTGCCATTTTCGGCCAGACGACATATGGCCAAATTACGACAGTTTCGGGACAGCCTGATTGGACGATCGTCCCCGTCAAGATCATCTACGGCATTTATATGTTTGTATCGGTGGTGATGCTTATTAATCTCCTAATCGCCACAATGAGCAATACCTACCAACGGATACAGGCGCAATCGGATATCGAGTGGAAATACAAACTGAGCAAGCTCATTCGAAAAATAAATAGGTAATAAGATGTACCGAAGAAAAAAAAAAGATATATTAAGGAGAAGAAGTACGGCAGGTTGTTATACGAAACCATTTATTGTATCATTCATCGCACTAATCGTATTTTCAATACGCGACAGGACCACCATGGCACCACCCCCGCTGAATCTCTTGACTACATGGATCATGTATTTTATCAAACTCTGTAAGAAACACACGACCAAAAAGCAACAACCGCTTTCTTTGACGCACGAGATGAACGGCGCTCGCCTGTCCCCTTGCACCAGAATGGTCTACAAGGATAGCGTCGCCTTATCGGTAGCTCATCTGAGTCCACTTGGGAGCCAGCTGTCCTTTCATAACGCCGTCAGAATCGAGAACGTTGTTGACTGGGACGTCATCAGACGTAAATACAGACACCTTTACGGCGAGAAGATCGAACAAAAGTTGGTCCAAGAGAGCAAGGAAACGATTGAGAATCCGTTGGTGGTTTAGGAAGACACGTCCAGCTTTGCCGAGAATGCCGTGAAATCGGAGCTTGAACTTGGAGCTTGAACGAAGTGGGAAATGATCGAGATAGCCGTCAACAATATATTACATGACTCTCTGAAAAATAAAGAGATTGAAGTTCTTTCTATCTTTCGCAGATTCGCCACATTAAATGCGTTCGATCGCACTGGATTATTTGTATATACATACACCGCGAGGCGTATAAAAATAAAGATTTTTATACTTATTACTTTAAGTTTTGTGTGAAAATCTAATGAAAAAATTACATAGACATTTAAAGATCTTTTCATATATCATCGATATGTTACTAAATAAGGTATAAAAATGAAGATTTTTATTTAGGTTTAGAAACGGATAAAATTACAGTATATAAAATTACAGTAAAGATTTGCATATTTAAATGAAGGTGTATAAGAAATTGCGCACTTTAAGTTTTGTGTGAAAGTTTATTGGAAAAATTACGTTACATAGACGTTTAAAGATCTTAAAAGATTTTTTCATTAGACTTTCACACAAAACTTGAAGTGCGCAATTTCTTATGCACCTTCATTTAAATTTGCAAATCTTTACTGTAATTTTATATACTGTAATTTTATCCGTTTCTAATCCTGATTTGTTTTAGAATACTAGAGTGCTTTCTTTACACCGAGCAGCGAGGAAATGAATTAACTTCTCATTGTTCAATCAAGCCCGACTATCAGTCAAATAATATTCTAAATACATTACGTCATAAACTGTAATACATTCTGTCGATTCGAAGAAATCAAGGAATTGTCCAGTGGAGAGGCCACCCTCGCTGAAATGACTTAAACAATAAAATCGATGCGCGCAACATACTCCTATTATACATGGAAAACTTTCTAAACATGCAATTTTTTTATTGTTTTATTAGTCTAGTATATATCGTAATGTATTTGTGATAGACAGATATTACGCAAGTAAAGTACGTTTTATGTTTGTACGTTTCCTTGAGATATTGTATATCGCTAATTATAATGAAATACATACATATATATAGATGTCATAAGTGTAGGCGTGTAGAAGTCTATTTCCATCACTGTTCATTTGATCTTATCTTGCCATTTTTAAACGGTGGCTGTGCGTTGGTTTGTAGATAAAAAAATACCTTGAGCGTCAGTGTTGATAAATTCGCCCATAACGACGGTGCTAAAATTATTATCGCCGCATTTACCAAGCTGGAAGTCCAGCCAATTGGATCATTGCATCGCGAAGAAGTCATCAGGATGCACGATGGACTTGACGAAAAACTGTTGCGATCTATCGTGGCTGTATAGGTTTTTAAAAATACAAGCTAGGATCAATATCTTTTTGCACGTAATATTGTAATATTTAATGTTGGCGTCAAGCCCATGCAGCAAAAATGATTTGAAATGGATTGAAATAAATTCAGTTTTGATATTTCTGAATTGGCGCTTCTGATTTTTCGAATCCATTTGAATCCAAAAATAATATAATACGGACACGAATACGTCCAAATTCAACATGGTGAATAGCTCATTTTGTATTTCAATTTTTTTGAATTAAAAAATAATACATGCAAAAATAATACATACAAAAATAATACATTTTTTAATTAAAAAATAATACAAACATGAATGCATTTCCGGACTCTAAAGTACTAACTCAGATAAATTAGAATAAATTGCAATTTTCAAGTTTAACATCTCATTGCTGTACATTCGGAGAATATACGCTAATTCTCATCCTCATTGTTAAGCTCATCTCCAATTTCGAATGTAATTCCGTCTTCGTTTATCAAATCGTTGAAACGATACAATTGTAATATTATTATGTGGCCTCAAACATGTGAGTGAGTTCATTAATTGTTAGCTGCACTTACGCATCCAATCTTAAGACCGTCTATTAAGGAGTCTAAATGTTTTTGCCATTTTTCAAGAAAAATACTGGCAAAAATCTTTATCCTGGTACAAATTCACTTTTGACTTTTAAACGTCCACACGCTTCCAATCTTTTCTTTTCAAACGAGTAATATATATATATATATATATAAGCTAAGAATCTTCTCTTGCAGCTATTTACATCTCTTCAAGTAGTATAGTATACAGAAGTACAGTAGGTTACTTCTGCTTTTTCCTGAATAGCCAACTCGAGAATATTATGATATTCACGATTTGTCACACGATTTATAGCTCAAGAATTCGGACATATAGCTGAAATGTGAGAACGTCAATCACGTCATGTAGAAAGTTTGAAATCACTCGCGAATCTCGTTTTGTCTTCGCTCTTCATTGCTGTCTGAAAGTGCTGGAGACTTCGAAGAGTCAGGAGGTGCACTGATACTGGTATTATATCAAAGATCATATCACGTAGGCGCACAGAGTGCACTATACGCGCTGAAAATTACGCGTACGGTAGCTGCGATCCAATTGTCAGAGCGCTCTTAGAATCTTTTCATTCTTGTTATTTAACATACATAAAACAAGCATTATACAAGTACTACGAACTTGACCGCCCGTATCGCGTAACCGTATTACGTCTTTACTATTTTTAATTAGCACTTTCGTTCTGAATTTAATTACTTTTCTCGGAATGTAAAAGGCCCGAGGGAGATTTTTCATTGTAGACAACGAAAATGATAAATGGACAAGATTAGCTTTAAATTAGTCTTGTTATCGTTGAGTAATGCAAACGATGTTACAATTAATTATATTAATTTTAAATGTATTATGTATTTAATACATTAAATATTATGGAACTGTCATATACATAGATTTCAACTTAATTAGTTTATAGTTTATAGACAGTAAATACATTTTCATTCATTTTATAATACATAAATCTTGAATTGGGCATAGTATTAAAAATATTTTTGTTACTATTATATTTTTTCCCCGTAATTTATGATCATAACATTATATTTATTAATAATTATTATTTTATTATAATTATTTTTAAATATTTTTTATTATTAATGACTACATACGTGAATATTTTTCTTTTAAAATAACGATCACACTTAAAATTATAGACGTACATAAGATGTGAATATTAAAATTAGGCATGTAAATAAATATTGCTGTATCATGAAATATGTATCGATTTCATCACTAACATAATGAATTCAGAGCCAACTTTAAAGTAAAGTGTCAAAGCAGATTGTGATTTCTAGAAATTCTTTTAACTTGACAAAAAAAGCACTGGCTATGTAATATCTATTTGTACTAACGACAGGCACTTACTTTGTTTTTAAAAATCTCTCCGACTACGCAGTGCACATATGTACGAATATATTAATATAAATCGAAAAGCCAACATCTTTGCATAAAGAGAGAGAAAACACCATCGCCATCTTAGTGAATCATCTAGACACAGTTAATATATTTTTCAATCATTCTTGTTTTAGAAACTCATACATAAAAATATATAAAAATTTAGACACCTACATGTGCTAATTCTGTAAAGCTGTTTATGTCTTACACTAAATGAAGACTGACATTTTTCTATGAAATCAACATTCCCTTTGCTTATTTCTTTGCAGGGAGCACGTGCAATTACGCATGCTCACGGAAAAACTTCTGAAATGCAGGTGGTGAGGTGCAAAGTATAGTCACCTCGTAAATGTTTCATATGTTAATGTCTACTGCGTTTTTTTTTATGGGGTAGTGCAATTTCTTGTTCGAAGAAACAAATTTGTGTGGCTCTCCTACGGCATTGCTAAATAGTCTATGAATATTTAAAATGAGTGTAATGCCCTCTAATGTTCCCAAGAAGCTCATTATTAATTTCTCCTCCCATCTGTTTCTTCCTTTTGACAACTCGCTCTGTTTCAACAATTTGCATTTTCTGAAACTCAACCAATATTTTTCATTGAACGAACTTTAAAACGTAAAAAATAATGCCACGTAGCTGCGCGAGCAATGCGTTGAGTAATATATCATATGTGTTTATAGCAACGCAAAAATGTTGAAAAATAACATAAAGTAAACTAATCATTTTTAATTAAAAAATTTTAATTAAAAATGAAACCTATTATCATAGGTTAATTTTTTAATTAAAGAGGCACGTTATCTACAGACCTCACCCAGTCCTTTTATTGGTTAAAAAAAACTATTTCCAGTTTCATTATTGAAATTGGGCTCACGGTGAATAGCATTGAGACATGAGTATAAGAATTGTAGGAAATCAAAAAAGGTTTTAAAAAAATTCCATGAGGCCAACCTTGTAAAATAAATCCCCTAAGTGTTAGAGCTGTTCAAAGTTCGCTATTATAACCCTGTATTGTACCACAGGTCTTATCCAATTTTTCTGCATTCAGGACGTCTTCCCGCGGTAACGGATTATACCAAAAACATTAAAATGTGTGTGTGTGTGTG